TGTAGTATGGTGACCAAAATTGGTTGTAGTATTCCAGGTGTGGTCTCACTAGAGTTTTATAAAGCGGTACTAATACTTCACGTGATCTTGATTCTATGCCTCTGTTTATGCAACCCAGGATTGTATTAGCTTTTTTGGTGGCTGCTGCACATTGTTGGCTCATAGTCAAGTGATCGTCCATAGGACTCCAAGGTCCCTCTCACCTAATCTGTACTTATATCTTTGATTTTTCCTGCCTAAATGTAAAACTTTGCTTTTCTTCACATTAAAATTCATTTTGTTGGATAGGGCCCATTGTTCCAGTTTGTCAAGATCTTTTTGAATCCTGAGCTTGTCTTCTAGGATGTTGGCTATTCCTGCCAGTTTAATGTCACCTGCAAATTTGATGAGTTCCCTTTCTATTCTCTTATCTAAGTCATTGATGAAGATATTGAAGAGTACTGGGCCTAGGACGGAGCCTTGTGGTGCCCCATTGCTTAGTTCTCTCCAAGTGGATGTAGTACCATTGAGGACTACTTGCTGAGTACGGTTTGTCAGCCAGCTACAAATCCATCTGGTGGTAATGTTGTCTATTCCACCTTTTTCTAGCTTACCAAGCAGTAGATTGTGGTCTACTTTGTTGAATGCTTTACTGAAATCTAAGTAAACTATGTCTACAGAGTTTCGCTGGTCTAAAGGTTTATGAAGTTCTTACAGAACTACATAAAAGGAGTTGGAAGAGAGCAACTCTCCAAGGAGACCCTATACTATTCCAGACAAGCGGCTGTCCAATCTCCTCTTAAAATCCTCCACTGATGGAGCACCCACAACTTCTGGAAGCAAAGCATTTCCACTGATTAATTATTCTCACTGAAAGGAAATTTCTCCTTGATTCTAGGTTGCATCTCTTTTTGATAAGTCTCCCTCTGTTTTATCCTGCTCTCAGGTGCTTTGGACAATAGGTCCATCCCATTTTTTCTGCGCCAGTCCCTGAAATATTGAAAGACTGCTATGATGTCACTCCTAGTCCTTCTCTGTATTAGACTAGATATATCCAGTTCCTGCAATAGTTCATCGTAGAACTATTTAGAAGTAGAAATAAAGCAATTACAAGAAGGAGGATATGTTCTGAGTCACGGGTGTCAAACTCAACATGTCACGTGATGTGTTGCGACGTGTCGTGACTTTTTTCGCATTACCAGAGCTGGGATGGGCGCGGCCTCTGCATGATGCAACCAGCCCACGAGCTGGCAGTTTGACACCCCTATTCTAAGTCAAAAGAAGACAATAGAATGTTAAAAAAATATGGAAAGTTGTAAAAGTGTGCAAACTCCCATGATACCAGATTTTCAAACCATCAAAAATAAAACAGTTTGTAATCCAGAACTGTTATCAGGCAGTCATAGGACATCTGTTATACCATATTTATCACAATGGTAAAATCCAGATATTACCAATTCAGTCAGCATTTTAAGCCCCTACACATAAAAACCTACACAACAACACTGGTTAAGAATTAAAAGAATACTGTGTTATTTAAAGGGAACCATGGATTTAGGATTGCATTTACAACCATCAAGTGGATTGGAATTTAAATGCTTTGTAGACAGAGTTTGGGCTGATGGTGTATGAGATAAAAAGTCAATGTCAGGATTTGTTATAATGTTTGCAAACACACTAGTTGGTTGGAAATATAGAAAACAGACTACCATTGCCATTTCCACAGCTGAAGCAGAATTCATAGCGTTATCAGAATTGTGTTCAGAGATGACATGGTATGTAGAATTATTAAAGGATTTGGATATTGAAGTGAAAGGACCTTTACCAGTATTTGAGGATAACATAACATGTACAGAAATGGCAACAGATGAGAGAGTAAAAACCAGAAGCCTGTTGACATAAAATAATGTAATGTCAGAGAAGTAGTGAAAGAAAATGTAATAGACCTAATTTATTGTCCATCAGAAAATAATTTAGCTGACCTCGTGACAAAGCCATTAAGTATACAGAAACACAAGGATCTTGTGAAACAATTGGTTTAAAATCCGTCCAGCTATAAATTGGAGGGGTGTTGGGATATTAAATTTAGTAACTGGAACAGTAAAATTGTACAATGGTTGGAAATCTAGAAAACAGACTACCATTGCCACTTCCACAGCTGAAGCAGAATTCATAGCGTTATCAGAATTCTGTTACAACTGTGTAACAGTTGTAGTTGATTGGAGTTGTAGTTGATTGGAGAGTGCTGGCTCCTGTGTGAGGCAATCTGAGCTATGATTGGTTGCTGTGGGTGTAAAGGGGGAGTTTCCCATTTTTCCCGCTTTTTTCCCCTTCTGTGCGTTCTATGTGCTGTTTGAATTTACCTCATGATGTTCCTGTGTTCCTGACCACCTTGTTTGCTGTAAATATAAATGTTAAATATATTTATGTAAATAAACTACAAATTTGCGTCAGTGTCTGACTCCATTTGGAAACTTGCTGTGAAATTCCCTGACAGAGGATTATTTCTATTACACCCAGAAAAAAAGCCACTTGCAGTGGATGTCATTTGCTGGAAACACCATGGGGAGGAAATTGTTGTACCCAGCTGGTGGATTATCCAGAAGGATGTGAAGAATTGTGGTGGGGAAAAATATTTCTACTCTGGGAGGTCCCCTTCCTTTGGGACTGATGAGAGCACACAAATGGATGACTCACTCCCTAAGGCAGTGATGGCGAACCTTTTAGAGACTGAGTGCCCAAACTGCAACCCAAAACCCACTTATGCATCGTCAGGTGCCAGGTGGGTGTGGCCCATTGGCTGGGCGTGGCTGTGGCAGACTGGGTGGGACTAAAAAGGTCAATCAATCAATTCCAACTTTACAAAATCTTTTTTTTTTCCCCGCCAGAAGTTGAAATTGACTTATTGATTGAAGCTTTTTTTTTTTTTTGCAAACGGCGGCGGAGGCCTAAAGCGAAAAGGGTTTATAAAACCCAGCTGAAGGCCTAGGACTGGGGCGACGGTGCGCGTGCCACCAGAGAGGGCTCTGAGTGCCGCCTCTGGACCCGTACCATAGGTTCGCCACCACTGCCCTAAGGGATGGCTTTCTGAGCAGAGCTCTTCCCAAGAAGCTGCCATGAGGAGCACAGTCACTTCTTAAAAGTCCCCTCACCATGGTTTGGAAACTGCAGGTTGGTTGGAGAAGGCTGAAAGGGATGTGAGTTCTATGGATTTGGAGTGAACAGACTTTACGTGATGAGCTGGACTTTAAGAAGTTGGCGGTAACTGGGGAATGGACTTACCATATCTAACTGAAAAATAATTTGGACTAGACTTTTTTGGGAAAATGGATCAACCAAGAGGTTTATGATTTTGGGGAATAAGACACAATTGTTGTCTTATTGTTCTCAACTAAAATCTTAAGGAAAAGTTATATTAATAAGAATCAAGAGACAATAATTCTGGTGATTTGTGGTAAATAAGAAGTTGTTCTAAACTTTATACAAGTTAAATGCAATTGTTGTTGTTGTTAGTTGCGAAGTCGTGTCCGACCCATCGCGACCCTATGGACAATGTTCCTCCAGGCCTTCCTGTCCTCTACCATCTTCTGGAGTCCATTTAAGCTCACGCCTACTGCTTCAGTGACTCCATCCAGCTACCTCATTCTCTGTAGATTGTTAATAAAGTGCTTTGATGTTTAGCTTCGCTGTTGGTTCACCTGTTAATTACTTTGCCTTTATATATCATAGATAGATGAACGTCGAATTGATTATAAATAGAGATAGAAGTTTATAAATTTTGGGCCTGCTACACAAAGGGAGGAAACTAATATTGCTCCAATATATTTATGAATATTCAAGTGGGGTATAATTTACGTAAATCTGTTTTTCTTTTTTTAATGCACATTTTTTAAAAAATGTTTTCACTATCCTTTTGATTTTGAAAAAAATCTTTTTTCAGAATCTGTACTTTATATTAATTTTCCGAATAAAATAACTGTTTTTTTAAGAGTCCCTTTGCCAGAAACAAGTTCATGGTACTTATTTTCTAAAGTGCCTCTAAATTCACAGTATCACAGCATCATAGGGTTGGCTGTATCATGGTGTCACCAGCATAGTGTAAAGCAATTCTATCATTTCTTGTTGTCTTGACACTATTCCTGTCGATGCAGCCTAGGACTGCATTGGTGTTTTTTGGCAGTTACAGCACAATACTGGCACAAGTGGTACTTGTTCATTTATCATGCATCCCAGGGATATATGGCCTGCCCTTTTGGAGATCTCCCAGAGGCAGTCACCCACAATTCCTTAACATGGTCTACAAAGTGTTAACTTAGCAAAACAGTTTGTCCCACTCCCATGCAACAGTGATCCAGAAGCAGCCATCATTTTGACGCAGAGGAGGCATGGCAAAATAGCAGCTGTTTCCACAAGACCACATGGCCCAGGGATGAATTCCAGGCACAAACCCAGAACTTGGGGTAGGGCAGGGTAGGCCTCCAAGAGCTTCCCCTAACCCTGAGGTGGTCACTGTTCTGCTTAGTGACTTGCACATTCATTTAACAGCTTCATTAGGGAGCGAAGGTGGTGGGGGTAATTAAGTAAGGTAATCTCGCTTAATAACCATTGCAACATGTAACCATAATTGGCAGGCCCCATTACAATTGTATCTCGAGGACTTCTTCCATGGTGGCTGAGGAATTCTGGTGCTCAAAATCTGGAGGACACCAAAGTAGAAGACGGAAACTCCACATGTTGGAATTCCATAATCAATATACAAAAAACATCACTCAAAAGCCTTTTTGAGGAGTTCAACAACTTCTGAAAAAGGAAATATCAAAAAACTTCTGCTAATAATCATAAACAGGTAATTAGCTTTTATCAAACTAAGATTTTTTTCTATTCACCTACATGAGTAATACGGAGATGTGTTTGACTAAGAATTGACGAGAATTCAAATAGTCAATTTCTCACCTATACTCCTAATGAGAGATGAGAAATGAAATTCAAGCCTTCTCTAAACTCATCAACTTTTGCCTCATGTGGATTTCCTTATGGGCAATAAGGGATGATTTATGCCTAAAGTATTGTCCACACACTGGACATTTGAAAGGTTTCTCTCCCGTGTGAGTCGTCTGGTGTCTCATGAGGTGGAAATTTTTAATGAAACTTTTCCCACAATCAAGACATTCAAAGGGTTTCTCTCCTGTGTGAGTCCTCTGATGTATCACCAGGTTGGAACTTTGACTGAACCTTTTGCCACAAATAGGACATTCGAATGGTTTCTCTCCTGTGTGAGTCCTCTGGTGCATCACTAGGCTAGAATTCACACTGAAACGTTTCCCACAATCAACACATTCAAAGGGTTTTTCTCCTGTGTGAGTCCTCTGGTGTTTCACCAGGTTGGAATTCTGACTGAAACTTTTTCCACAAACAAGACAATCAAATGGTTTCTCTCCTGTGTGAGTCCTCTGGTGTATCACCAGGCTGCAGTATTGACTGAAACTTTTCCCACAAATAGGACATTCGAATGGTTTCTCTCCAGTGTGAGTCCTCTGGTGTATCACCAGGCTAGAATTGAGACTGAAATGTTTCCCACAATCAATACATTGAAAGGGTTTCTCTCCTGTATGAGTCCTCTGGTGTTTCACCAGGCAGGAATTCTGAGTGAAACTTTTCATACAATCAGGACACTCGAAGGGTTTGTCTCCTGTGTGAGTCCTCTGGTGTATCACCAGGCTGGAATTGAGATTGAAACGTTTCCCACAATCAACACATTGAAAGGGTTTCTCTACCATGTGAGTCCTCTGGTGTTTCACCAGGCTGGAATTCTGACTGAAACTTTTTGCACAATCAGGACATTCAAAGGGTTTGTCTCCTGTGTGAGTCCTCTGGTGTTTCACCAGGCTGGAATTGTGACTGAAACATTTCCCACAATCAGGACATTCAAAGGGTTTCTCTCCTGTATGAGTCGTCTGGTGTATCACCAGGCTGGAATTGTGACTGAAACTTTTCCAACAATCAGGACACTCAAAAGGTTTGTCTCCTGTGTGAGTCCTCTGGTGTATCACTAGGCTGGAATTGTGACTGAAACTTTTCCCACAATCAGGACACTCATACGGTTTTTCTCCTTTGTGAGTCCTCTGATGTTTCACTAGGCTGGAATTGTGACTGAAACTTTTCCCACAATCAGGACATTCAAAGGGTTTCTCTCCTGTGTGAGTTCTCTGGTGGTTCACCAGGCTGCAATACCGACTGAAACTTTTCCCACAAATAGGACATTCAAAAGGTTTCTCTCCTGTATGAGACCTCTGGTGTATGACTAGGCTGGAACTATGACTGAAACTTTTCCCACAATGAGGACACTCATAGGGTTTCTCTCCTGTGTGAATCCTCTGGTGATTCACCAGGTTGGAATTCTGACTGAAACTTTTGCCACAATCTGGGCACTCATAAGGTTTATCTCCTGTGTGAGTTCTCTGGTGATTCACTAGGTGGGATTTGTGATTGAAACGCTTCCCACAATCTGGGCATTCATGCAGTTTCTCTCCTGTGTGAGTCCTCTGGTGGTTCACCAGGTGGGAATTCTGACTGAACCTTTTCCCACAATCCAGACACTCATACGGTTTCTCACCTGTGTGAGTCCTCTGGTGATTCACTAGGTGGGATTTATGAACGAAATTTTTCCCACAGTCTGGGCACTCATGCAATTTCTCTCCTGTGTGAATCCTCTGGTGTATCACCATGTCATAATTCTGACTGAAACTTTTCCCACAATCAGGACACTCAAAGGGTTTCTCTCCTGTGTGAATGCTCTGGTGTTTCATGAGGCTGGAATTGTGACTGAAACTTTTCCCACAATTTTGACATTCAAAAGGTTTGTCTCCTGTGTGTGACCTTTGGTGTCTTGTAAGGTGGAATTTTCTAATGAAACTTTTCCCACAATCCGGACATTCATATGTCTTCTCTCCTATGTGAGTCCTCTGGTGATTCACTAGGTGAGACTTTTGAGTGAAACCTTTACCACAATCTGCACACTCATGGTTTTTCTCCTGGGATTTCTGAATGAAACTTTCCCCACAATCTGGGCACTTGTACAGTTTGTCTCCTGTGTGAGTCCTCTGATGTATCACCAGGTCATAATTTCGATTGAAACATTTCCCACAATCAGGACATTCAAAGGGTTTATCTCCTATATGTGTCCTCTGGTGTCTCGTTAGGTGGAATTTTCTAATGAAACTTTTGCCACAATCTGGACAGTCATATGATTTCTCTCCTGCGTGAGTCCTCTGGTGGTTCACCAGGTGGGAATTCTGACTGAAACTTTCCCCACAATTTGGCCACTCATATGATTTCTCCCTGGTGTATGTCCTCTGGTATTTCACCAAGTTGCTGTGTGTGGATCTTTCCATCAACCATAAGGGAACTGTTTTGGCCAAAGCTTTTACCACATTCAGAGAATTTGTATGGCTTTTCTCCAATGTAGATCATTTCATGCATAATCAGCCATGATTTGAAGTCTGCACTTTCCCCACAATATGCACATCAGTGCAGTTTTTCCGCTATGTGTGATCCCTTGTTTAGTGGTGCTTTGATTGCAGCTACTGTTTCCTTCCTCACAGGGTGAGGTCAGCATTACTGTCTGCCCTATGTGACTATCCAATTGACCTTTTCCTCCCCACTAACTGCCAGATATTACTCTCTTTTTCTGAATGGAAAAATAATCTTCCTTGACTTTTCATGAAATGTATCTTTGAGTTCTGCATACTCCACTTTTTCCAGCTTGAAATCTCTTCTTAATTTCCTCTCCTTTGTCTCTCACCTGCTGGAGAAGGAGAAGAATTGTATGGTTTTTCTGGAGGAAATAGAAAATATTTTAATTTCTTGCTCGATTTGCTTTTCTTTTCAATGTTGCTTGTTGTTATTAGTTTTCCAGACTGTTCTTACTGGCATCCTCTTTGTCTGTAAGATTCAAATAAAAGTATAACTTTAATTATTTATATAATGGTTGCAGAAAATGTCAAAAAAAGGAAAGAAGTGTCAATTACAGGTAAAAAGCAAACATGCCACAATGCTAGAATAACATCTTATACTAGTTATGATTCATTTGACACATTGAAGATTATCGAGATCCAAGTTCACATATCCATTCAATCATAAAATTCTCTTTTTGCTTTGGATCAATCACAAATTCTTAATATGGTAAATTTTGGGTAGAATCTCAGTAATTAAGATGAATAGAACATAGAATAATAGAGTTGGAAGGGACCTTGAAGGTCTTCTGGTCCAATCTCCTGCTCAGGGAGGAGACTCTATACCAATGATGGCAAACCTTTTAGAGACCGAGTGCCCAAACTGCAATCCAAAACCCACTTACGTATCATCAGGTACCAGGTGGGCGTGGCCCATTGGGTGGGTGTGGCCCATTGGGTGGGCATGACCCATATGGTGGGCGTGGCTGCGGTGGTAATGGCAGATTGGGTGGGACTAAAAAGTTCAATCAATCAATTCCAACTTTGCGAGATCTTTTTTTTTCCCCGCAAGAAGTTGAAATTGATTAATTGATTGAACTTTTTTTTTTTTTGCACACAGTGGTGGAGGCCTAAAGCGAAAAGGTTTTATAAAACCCGGCTGAAGGCCTAGGACTGGGGTGACGGCGCGCGTGCCCACAGAGAGGGCTCTGAGTGCCGCCTGTGGCATGCGTGCCATAGGTTCACCACCACAGCTCTATACCATTTCAGACAAGTGGCTGTTAAGTTTCTTTTTGAAAGCCTCCAGTGATGGAACACACACAAGTTCTGAAGCCCAGCTGTTCCACTGATTGATTGCTCTAATTGTTAGGAATTTTCTCTTTAGTTCTAAGTTGCTTCTCTCCTTGGTTAATTTTCACCCATTGCTTCTTCTATTGGAACACTGCTATCATGTCTCCCCTAGTCCTTCTCATTAGACTAGAGAGACATATCCAATTCCTGTAACCATTCTTTGTATTTTAGCCTCCAGCCCCCTAATGACCAAAAATGCATTTTCTGTTTTAGAGTTTACCAACCACACCCACACCAAACAACAAACCAGTTTGATTGGAGCAACACAAAAATCATCGGCCATGCTACCACCCGCCATGCTCGTGAGTTCATCGAAGACTGGCACTACACAAGCAATTCCATCAACAGAAACTTTGACCTACTGTGTTTCCCCGAAAGTAAGACCCGGTCTTATTTTATTTTTATTTTTTTTGCCTCCAAAAGAGGCACCAGGTCTTATTTTCGGGGGGTGGTGGTGATGTCTTTTCCATTCACCTCCAGCGCCGATAGCCCTGCCCGGCTGGCCAATGTCTTCTGCAGCCAAAGGAGTAGGTTCATTCGGCAGCTGAGAATGGAGCACTGGCTTGCATTTCGTAGTCAAAGGCCTTTCCGGAAGGCCTCTG